CCCAGCCATGCATTGTCTTGTGGCCAATGGATCTTGCTGGGCACCATTAGAGTATTTGCATGCTAGCTTGATTTCTAAGCATGATAGCACCCTCGTCGCTGAACCTGGCATTTTGCTATCATTGGTGGTATTAAAAAGAGTGCTACATGAAAGAAAGACGTAAAAAAGGAAAATGGCAAGCCCAACAACTAGTTTCTCTGCTTGGTGTAGTGCGAGCAAAGTTTAGCAAGCGTATTGCAATGCGGAGTACATGCATGTGTATCCAATCATATACTTTGGCCGTAGGTCCTTGCGAGTGTGTGGTGGCAAGTGCACGCATGTGGGTTAACTTCTTCTTTCCATGAACCCATGAACTGTGCTCCCGGCCCGAGCAGCTAGAAACTCCATCAAATCACTGCGGCTATAGATCTATTTTTGATTTCTTATGTGTCTTTACCGTACAGCTGATCAGCTCAGTGACGTCCCCAGAGCCAACAGCGTACCCATTCTTTCCACCAACCAGTGGACGGACTCATGAGGGAAAATCTTGCTGGGTATTCCCAGATAGGCTGATGTTCTCCTCCTCTTCATCCTGCGGCTAACATTTCTTCTGTCAAGGTACTGATAATAGCGGAAAAACGCAATGGGTTCTATATGATGCTGGATACAATCCTAGTATATGAGCTTAGCTATTGGGAATGGTGCTATTGAAGATTGTTCCCTGCACTGCAAACAAATGTCTAGATGCAAGAAACTTTACCACAAGCCAATTTTTCATTTGGGTGCAGTCATGCTTAGTTTGAAGACAATGCCCAGGCGCGTAGCTAGCATGTAGCATGCCCTAGTTTGAAGACAATGCCCAGGCGCGTAGCTAGCATGTAGCATGCTTAGTTTGAAGACAATGCCCAGGCGCGTAGCTAGCATGTAGCATGCTTAGTTTGAAGACAATGCCCAGGCGCGTAGCTAGCATGTAGCATGCTTAGTTTGAAGACAATGCCCAGGCGCGTAGCTAGCATGTAGCATGCTTAGTTTGAAGACAATGCCCAGGCGCGTAGCTAGCATGTAGCATGCTTAGTTTGAAGACAATGCCCAGGCGCGTAGCTAGCATGTAGCATGCTTAGTTTGAAGACAATGCCCAGGCGCGTAGCTAGCATGTAGCATGCTTAGTTTGAAGACAATGCCCAGGCGCGTAGCTAGCATGTAGCATGCTTAGTTTGAAGACAATGCCCAGGCGTGGCTAGCATGTAGCATGCTTAGTTTGAAGACAATGCCCAGGCGCGTAGCTAGCATGTAGCATGCTTAGTTTGAAGACAATGCCCAGGCGCGTAGCTAGCATGTAGCATGCTTAGTTTGAAGACAATGCCCAGGCGCTTAGCTAGCATGTAGCACGGGGGTGGGGCACATGTACACCCGTACATATTTTGACCTAGGTTCAGCATGCTCGTAATAGAGAGGTTAAGATGCACGTTATTTCCGACGTGTCGTGCAATTTCACTTCAAATTTGGCGTAAAACTCCAAATTTCGACGTGAGCTGCAGGTCACTCGCGTTTTTTCGGTGCGCGAACCAAATAACGCGAGCTGAACTTTCGCGTCACATCAGAAATAACGTGCAGTGAAATGAAGTTCAGTCTTGTCAAAATGCCGTTGAAAATATGGAGCAATGGTGCTCTGTTTGACAGACAACTGTACACCCACTGCCGCACTGACTATCACCATCAAAATGTACGAGGAGCACTCAAAAATAAGCTACAGACGTACCGTTGTCGCTTTCTGCTCCTTTTTCAAGGCACGAAAGTCGACTGTCCACTTTCAAACCAGGAGCCCGACATACCACTGGTCCTTTTCAGCTGCTCCATGAGCGAAGGTAATGTTCACCAAGGGCCGCAGAGCAGCATCCATTCCAGAAAAACAGCCAAAATACGAGTGAGACTGCATGCCTGAGTACATGAGTACATGCAGAATATAGTCAATTTCAGTGTTTCTGCTCCAAACAGCAACTAGCTTCGACTAGCTACAAAGATTACACCAAAGGATCAAACAACAACCAATTTCTTCAGTTTTTTTGGCAGAAGGCTTCCTTTTGCTTGGCCCAGCAGGCCAAAAATCACACCTCTGAGGAGTACAAAAATTACAACTCTCAGATGTCCTCGATTGCTGGCCATGCCCTTCCCAGTGTCTGCTCTAGGATCGTACGACAGCCGGGTACACGTGTACCTGGCGCAACCATTTCAACCGGGTCGGAGCCGGGTACACATGTACCTGGTTGGTTGGTTTATTTTAATTCGAACAATAAACGGGAACTAGGCCCAATGATATAAGGGCGAATGGATAAGCCGCATTTAGAAAAGAGAGGACAGGAATTAGAAAATTACGAAAGAAGAAGAAGTATCTGACACTACATACAAGCCATGTAGTCAGTCCTTTTAAAGTTCGAAAGTGTAAAGTACCAACCGGGCCAGAGGTGACCCGGTACTATATTTTCAACCGGGTCCAAGCACCGCCCAACCGGGTGGATTACCCGGCTCACCCGGCGCTGGAGCAGACACTGCTTCCTTTTGGACAATGCATTCCTCATGGTTAGTTGTCGTTCTATGCCTTACCTTCCATCGCACCAAGTTCTATCACCTCCAGTGCACGCGTTGTTATCCAAAGTCTAAGCCCAAATTGTCGAAAGATAAGCGAAAATATTGATGACGGGGTCCAAGTAGTTCTGAACAAATCCTCTTTTCTTTTTGTTGTGTACCTTGCAATCATCGTTTCACATTTTTCTCGTACATGTCAACATTTAGGAAATGCTTACAGTGCAATTACTGCCAATTAGTCGTCTTTGTTGCTATAGTAAACATTCAAGTGGTACTTTTACATAGAAATTGGTACTGTGATGTGCAATGATAGAGCTCGCACTTAAATTCTTGTAAATCTGAAATTGGTGCAAGAGCTGGTGGAAGGCGATTCCATAGGGTGTCAATCCTGTATAGAAAAAGGCGATGAGAAGGATCTGCCATGATCATTGAACACTAATTTAATTGCGATGAGCACATTCGGTGTATAAGCTGCACATCAGACTTTGAACTATTTTCGCAAACTAACTAAATGGGTTTTCGTACATTACCAATGACCAAAAAGTTGCCTAGTTTGTCCTTCACTCAGAACTAACATGTAGAAGCTTCGCACAAGTACAATGATGCATTGATGGATTACAGTGCATGAAAAGTAGTCGAACGACGCCATACATGCATTGTGCTCATGGAGTGCTGGTCAATTCACATCTAGCATTCGGAGCTTAAGCCGCAGGTGTAATTTTCGAGTATTTTATGTGTGGTTAAAGTACAGCTAGCACCCAAGAACTACTGTAGCGGACATGGAAATCCAGTCGATTGACTGGGGCAGGCGCTCTCAGCGCGTACAGAACGCTGCGTGCAGTGCACATGTTGATCCGATGCGACCAGCGCGCTGCAGCGCATAAATGCAAGTGTAGACGTAGATCTACGTGTAACCCACGGCTGCATGGCCAGCGCCCTGGGGCCGCTAGACGTGCAGCCGGATTTCCATGTCCACGACAGTCGACAATACTATCTAATATACTGACTGTGGCGGACATGGAAATCCAGTCGATTGACCGGGGCTGGCGCCCTCAGATCAGCGCGTACAGAGCGTAAGTCGTTGCATGCAGTGCACAATAATGTTGATTGGATGCGACCAGCAGCAGCGCATAATAATAATAATAATAATAAGTGCTACGGCTGCATGACCAGCGCCCTCGGGCCGCTAGGCGTGCGACCGGATTTCCATGTCCACGACAGTAGTACTACATTGTATTAGTAGTAGACCCAGGTGCTCGAAGTCCGTACATGGTATCCTTGGTTCGTACGCCCATAATTTCATGTTCTGTTATTGTATTCGACTCAAATATTTTATGGAGGGGACAGTGTGGTATGTTCTCCTCGCGTAGCAATTTTCAGGGATCTACGATAAGCAGAAGTCCCATACCACGCGAGTGGGTTTTCGAGTGTCCATACGAAATACAAATTGGGTTACATTTCATGCAAAAATCAACTTTACCAAGACCGATTTCGAACGGACAAAGCGTCAAACAGACCTTCACTCAATCATCAAGAGCCAGCTTAGAGCTGACAATGGCCAGAGGAGAAGAACTTACAGAGAACCACCAATCCTTGCAGAAAGGTTGACACTCCTGGCATCTCCACCACTGTTTTCCCGCGGTTTTCACAGCGCAGCTGCTTCTTCTCTGAGCCGACTAAAAACAGCTTGCATTTCGGCAACAAACTACGCTTTTGCAAGAAATACTGGTGGAGGCACATGCCAAACATATCCCTTCGGTGCTTTCGTCGTAACCGAGGGATTGAAAGTTAGCAATTGGCAGAAATATGTGTGTATTTCGAGTCACCTCTGATCAGTGCGGACTTAGAGTACCCTCTGCGACACAAAAATTTGATGTGAAAAATCAGCGAACTCCAGAGAAACAGATCGGATCGAAAGATGGCCTGGTTCAATCGTCGTGAATCGAGCCTGGCCTCAGAACAAACTTGGACAAGATCCCTTCCATCCACGAGCAGGATTCGGGCAAGTGATCATTGCTAGTGTGAGTTTCAGCTCGGCAAACACACACTGTAAACGTGTACGGACTTCGAGCACCTGGGTCTACTAGTAGTAGTAGTAGTAGTAGTAGTAGTAGTAGTAGTAGTAGTAGTAGTAGTAGTAGTAGTAGTAGTAGTAGTAGTAGTAGTAGTAGTAGTAGTAGTAGTAGTAGTAGTAGTAGTAGTAGTAGTAGTAGTATCTAGAACCATGACTACGGTCTAGCGAGTAACAGTTAGTCCGACTCATCCGACATAGTCTGTCGATGCAGACTGTGATTTTGGTGTGAACTGGCTGCACTGCCTAGCGCCTCTGGATCGCTACTAGACGCTAGACCTTTCACGCCTTTGGCCTTGTACCTCGTGTGCTCATGTGCAACCTATCTCATCGCGGCCGCTAGCGCGCTGCTAGTAGGTCTACTGGAAGCGAGGGCTAGGGTAGGCGTAGAAAGGTCATAATCCACGTGTTCTGAGAACGCTACCAGCTGCACATGCATTCGCTGGCAAGCGAGGCTGCAGGCTTGCTGTTGACTGTGTTGACTGTGTTGACTGTGTTGTTGAGCTCCCTTCTTTACTTTAGTTTACTACTAGCACATGTACATGTAGTTGTTGTTTGCAAGGAGCGCATCATTTCCTTCTTCTCCTTTTTGTTTCGGAGGACAAGCCTTTACAGGGTGAAACAGATTTAAGCAAGCCTTGTAGTCCTATGCTTAGCACCGACGTTGTGCAGGAAACAGCAGATTTGGGGGAATTCTGCCCGTCATTTACTCGTTCCGCAACTAAAGCAGCGCAGCAAACAAGGTATATTATTGCTGTCCCTCTTCTTCCCCTTTTTGCATTCTGTGTAGGGAGTTATTGGGTGCTGCTAGAATTTACCTCCCACCATTTGTTGTGACTTGAAACTTAATTAACCCTTTAACGTTTGCCCCGTGCTTCAACTGGTATTATATTGCCGGTTCGACAAGCACACTTTCAAAATTCGCGCTCCACCGCATAGTTGTCCCCAGCGACCTGAAACTAAGCCACCTCGCAGCTAGGAAGCTACTGAACATGTAAATACCAAGCATAGCTGATGTTACCATTATTTTTAAATTTGCGCGAAGTGCAGCACTCAAATGTTCGGTCATGCGTGAAACCCGAAGCTGCGTTCGTCTCCCCCTAGCTAGGTCTACCCTATTCGTAAATTCCCCTTTCTTTTCCTCCTACTCCACGTGGCTCCAACTGCCTCCCAGTGTTAGACAAGCTCCAGATATGCCCCAATTCCGTACCCTCGTCAGACAGCACTTCAGTATCTCCCAGTAAACAAAGTCACAGTCACCACTTCCGCTGCATAGCTCGCTGAGCATCCCATTGCTCAGTGTAAGTTGCTAATCCCTTCCCACTTTGTGTACGTGCTCTTCATTTTCTTTTTTTCTCTTCTTCCGTGGTTGGTCTCACCCTCTCCTCAATTCAATTGGCTGTCTTGACATGCCACGAGGTGCAGAAATAAATAAATAAAATAAATAAAAATAAACGGCGGAGAAGAACTAAGCTGTTCTTGGACCATTTTTGCTGGACTTTAGAAATTTCTTGTCTCGTGCCTCGCTTCAAATAATCACTGGTGCTGCACTCAATTGTACTTATAGTGAAGAAGCTGTCTGGATAAGGACAGCTGACTCACACCTACGAAATTGTACTGGATACTCACGTGTCCACGAGCATGCCTTTCAGTTTCGTTCTGGCTATAACCCTGAACCTATTGATGGATATTTAGTTACAATGTATATCTGAAACGGTTACAGTTTTCAGGTTATCGGTTAAGCGGAACCTTAACGGTTAACCAAACGGCTATAACATACTATAAGAGACATAGTATGATACTGTACATGTCACCGGGTTACATGTACATGTAGTGATGTAGGACTATTGTACATGGGACCCAATGATGACCTCACGCAATGCTTAACGGGGGATGTTAAGCCTAAAATCGATTTTTCACCAGTTGTAGTCTTCGGGGTGCTGAGTCGAATGGTCGTGGTCCGAGGAAGCTGAGACGCTCCCTTCCTAATTTAATCCCAATCAAACTCGCGCATTTCCACCGAAACTGGGTGACTGCGCCCTACTACAGTCTGTTTCAAAAAGATTTGCAATCCTGGCGATCGCCCGCGGAGTTGGTGTCTTACCGTATGAGCACTCGAGCGCTGCCTGGAAAAACTCACTGTGAACTCGAAGAAATATTCCGCGCCAAAGCAGGAAAGATGACAACTCACGTTGATACAGTCATGTACGTCTGGTTTACAACAAACGAGTTCTTCCTCGTAATGGAGTCAATAAGGACATGTCGAAACGAAAGTGTTGTAAATGTTGACGAGCGGCATGTGTCCCTATTCGTTTTGTGACCAAAATAGTTTCTTTGAGCTGCGATGCAATTTACTCACCGTGTGACGGCAACGACACCGACACGGACTCATTCCCAAGGCCATGACTTGGCAAAGCTATCCGTGTGACTTCGACGACATTTTGAGAAAAGCAGACGCTTGTGAACGCTGATAGAAGACGGCGTTGACTGCTAAATTCAAATAAATTGGCGATCTTGAAATACTAAAATACATCTCAAAAAGCTACAGCACGATGACTTCCATATTCACTCACACCATTGCAGTGTTGTGGGTGTGTTCACATGGCGTGAGCCAGTCAAGTGTCAGTCAGTTTGGCAGGAAGCGCGAGCTCCAACAACAAGTCGTTTGGTGCAGCCATCTTCTTTGTCTTGTACCAGCTTGATCACCAAAACAATGAAAAAAAAGTTTGACTTGAGGATAGGTTGGGATTTGAACTCACAACTTCATGGTCAGCAGACAGCATTCATAACCACAAGGCCAAAAAGGAAGGGATAAATCGTGGGTTTTGATAAAAAATCGATACTGGCTTCCTGGGCAAATTGTAAACCATGGGAAAAGGCCGGAAACCTGGCCGAAATTCTAACTCCTTAGCGACTGGTCCAATTGTTCCGAAACCTTCACAGAACAATTTGCCGTGTCCTAACAAGCCATTCTATGTACTTTGTTGTCCAAATTTTCCTTATCTTCATACTTTTTAAGACCCAAACCTGATTGTAAATCTTTTTGAAACAGACTATAGATAGGGATTTGTATGCAAAATGTCACTAAAGGCGCCATTTCGTTCTTATAAAAGCACGGATGACCGCGATTGGCCCATATGTTGTAGTCTTTTGGACGCTGAGTCGACTGGTTTTGGTCTGAGAAAGCTGCGATGCAGCGTTCCTCCTTTATTCCCAATCGAACATGGCTGAACAAGCGTTCACGTGCTCCTGCGTGCCCAAGTCACCTGGTCACCGCCAGCAGGCGACAACTTTCACACCAAGGTTCAACTCGAGTGACAGGACTTCACCCAAAAAAGGTCAAACAGGCTGTAAGTTGTACCCTGCAGGTACGGTGACTGGTGTACGCAGGAGCACATGACCGCTTGTTCGCTTGTAGCAGCCTGGTCGTAAATTTCATATGGCATTCAATTGACCGTAACTTTGGTGTCTCTCAATGGATTTGAGTGAAAGTTTCACCACACACTCCTGCCACTATGCTGGCCCTCTGGACATGATTTAAAAGTTCTTGTGCCTCACTGACAGGCTTTCGAGGCCGGAAAAACTCAATTTGAATTCCAGCATAGTGCCACGGTGTGCGAGTCACCCAGGAGCCAAAAAAATGCATTTACAATTTTTTTCACATTTTCTTCCCCATTCTGTCCGTGCGCGGGATCCAAACCTAAAAAAGTCCAGAATCAGCCGTGGGTGGTGGGATAGGGCCCCTCAATGTGGCCCTGGAATCTGTCACAACGGCACAAGTGGGCGTTCTCTCACAGACTCCCACAGATCCAAGTCAATTTTTGATATTTTTTGGGTTTAGGGCGTGCTATGAGGTCGTACCTTTGATACAACATCCAGTGCTGGGACCTCCACAGCAAGCCATTTCCACAGCGCTTCAAACCAAATCCAGGATACTCTCGAAAATCGGCAAAGCCTACCACTCAAGTTCCACTACTGCCTATAGTCCATTTCAAAAAGATTAGCAATCAGGTTTTGGTCTTAAAAAGTATGAAGATAAGGGGATTTTGGACAACAAAGTACATAGAATGGCTTGTTAGGACACGGCAAATTGTTCTGTGAAGGTTTCGGAACAATTGGACCAACCGTTAAGGAGTTAGAATTTCGGCCAGGTTTCCGGCCTTTTCCCATGGTTTACAATTTGCCGTGGATGTCAGTATCGATTTTTTATCAAAACCCACGCTTTATCCTTTCCTTTTTGGCGTTGTGGTTATGAATGCTGTCTGCTGACCATGAAGTTGTGAGTTCAAATCCCAAACTATCTTCAAGTCAAACTTTTTTGTCATTGTTTTGGTGATCACGCTGGTACAAAAAGTACAAGCCAAAGAAGGTGGCTGCGCCAAACGACTTGTTTGTGTTGGAACTCGCGTTTCCTGCCAAACTTACTGACACTTGACTGGTTCACGCCATGTGAACACACCCACAACACTGAAACGGTGTGAGTGAACACGGAAGTCATTGCGCCGTAGCTACGTGTTGTTGAATACAACGGCACATCGATCGATCGATTTCTCTTTGAGAATTATTTTAGTATATCAAGATCGCCAATTTATTTGAATTTAGGAGTCAACGCCGTCTTCTATCAGCTTTCACAGGCGTCTGCTTTTCTCAAAATGTCGTCGAAGTCGCACGGATAGCTTTGCCAAGTCATGGCCTTGGGAATGAGTCTGTGTCGATGTCGTTTTCGTCACATCGTGAGAGCAAATTGCATCGCAGCTCAAAGAAATTGGGCACGAAGCGAATTGGGACCCATCCCGCTCGTCAACATTTACCACACTTTCGACATGTCCTCTCTGACTCCATATCGAGACGAGGAAGAACTCGTTTGTTGTAAACCAGACGTACATGTACCGACGTGAGTGAGTTGTCATTTTTCATGCTTTCGCGCGGATTATTTCTTCGAGTTCACAGTGAGTTTTTCCAGCCAGCTCTCAACCGCGCATATGGTAAGACGGCAAACTCCCCGGGCGATCGCCAGGATTGCTAATCTTTTTGAAACTGACTGTAGTACTGAATCCTACCTGACTTCTTGACACGACTCAAACTTGCCAAAAGTCACTAAATCAACGCCAACTACAATAATCAAGCCACATATCTGCAACGTCACGAGGGTGCTAGCAAAAGTCCTGCTGCCGTGCAGCCCAATACATGGCTAAAGCGTGATTTTTTGGACTTGGAGCAAAATTCTGCACACTTTCGCGTGTTTCCATGATACGACAAGTTGCGCACGGTCTGCTCACATTCAAATACTGTAAACCGGGAAACTTTCGCGAGCGGATAATTTTCGCGAGTTTCGCGATCACCGCCAAAACGCGAATTCGAATCGCCGCGAACTGAAGAATTTGAACGGAAGTAGTGCATCGCGTACTACGCTGGTCAGTACTACAGTCAGTGTACAAGACTGTCTGTAGCTGTGTGCATGCCTTGTCTATGTGACTGTACTATCATGTACATGACTGTGCTGAGCTGTTTCGCGGAAGGTGCGCGCGGAACTAGCTGTTCGTTCAGATCCGTCAAATGACATGACTGTTGTTGTTTGCCGGTTGAATCTGAAATTATCGCGGACAATCTTTCGTAACTTTGTCACTTCTTTCAAGTTCTTTGCCGAAGCTGGAGTTGTTCGTTTATGCTTTTACTGTTGTAAATTGTCAAAGAGTCATGTCGCTTTTTCAGTGGATCAGCTCTCAGAAGAAAGCATCTGGGTCAACCAATGCGCCTGTGCCTGCTTACTTACCGCCGGCGGAGAAAAGCAGCGCAACAGAGGCAGCCAACACTGCTGAAATGGAGGAGCTCGCTTCGACCGACAAGAAGCGAAAACTAGGCAGTTATCACCATTACTCTGACGAAGTCCGAGCTCGTATGGGGAGCCATGCCGCCGAGCATGGTAACAAATCGGCCGTGAGTAAGTTCACAAAGGAACTGGAGCATTCCGTGAACGAAAGCACCATCCGGAATTGCAAGCGCCTCTACCTGGGACGCTTGAAAGACTTGAAGAGTCCCGACTTGGTGACGACTCTCCCTCATGCAGCTGGGGGTCGCTCACTGATGCTTGGTGACCTGGACGGTGAAGTCGCTGAATACGTAAATGCTTTGCGACAAGCTGGTGGCTGCGTCAGCACAAGTATCATCATCGCTGGCGCGAAGGGAATCGTCGCGCACCGTAAAAAAAAGAACCACCTGAAAAGACCAAATCGCTAAAATTTCCCGTCGTTAACAGGGGCGTTTTTTCAAAACGCTAAAGTTGCACGCCGCAAAAGTTTCCCGGTTTACAGTACAGTGCTGCCAAAAGATGACAGCCTGCAACAAAAAAATCTTTCCTTGCAAGGGCACATTTCGGCCATAACTCTTGAACGACTGGTCAGATTGAGACCAAAATTTCAGAGATTTTGCAGCTATTCATGCTCTTTTAACTCAGGATGCAGCACTCGATATGAATTTACAAATTCATTTACAAATTCGATTTTTCAGGGATTTTACGACCAGGCTGCCCCCTTAAACAATCACCACAATAATGGATGCATATCATCACTTACTCAGTGTTCCAGAGCTGGTTCAAAAATAGTAATATTTTGTATGCTCCATTGGGCTTCGGACTTCACCATTACCTTGTCATTTATTCAACTCAAACTCATCATGAGCATATGCAAGCATCGTTAAGGGAGCAACCCCAGAGATAAGGGTGGTGCCCATCATGCATCATCCATTGTGCACAGCACTCACAGTGTATGCACCTATTCTGTATGTGTTATTAGCCGAGTATCAGGGCAATACCTATTCTGTGTACGTGTTATTAGCCGGGTATCAGGGCAATACCGATTCTGTACGTGTTATTAGCCGAGTATCAGGGCAATACCTATTCTGTATGTGTTATTAGCCGAGTATCAGGGCAATACCTATTCTGTATGTGTTATTAGCCGAGTATCAGGGCAATACCTATTCTGTATGTGTTATTAGCCGAGTATCAGGGCAATACCTATTCTGTATGTGTTATTAGCCGAGTATCAGGGCAATACCTATTCTGTATGTGTTATTAGCCGAGTATCAGGGCAAAGGCATAGTGGGTTGGTCTAAGACCATGATTGAGAAACAGAGGGTACCAGGTTCAAGCCCTGCTTGGAAGCGGAAGGAATTTTTCCAGCCGTGCTGCGACCCACAGTTATTTGAAAACTTGTGGCCTGGCACGAGGGTAACATGGATGCAGCTAATGGGATATCGGTCTTTGATCACTTGGTGGTGGGTCTGATCTACTCACCTCCCACCGTTTAGGCGCTGCATCTGCGCCTTTTATCCTAGAGGGTGGTGGCGTTCCCATGACGGATGCGGAAAACTGGGCTTCCAGCCGAGTTTCACGCGAACTGTGAAATTTATTTTTATCAGGGCAATACCTATTCTGTATGTGTTATTAGCCGAGTATCAGGGCAATACCGATTCTGTATGTGTTATTAGCCGAGTATCAGGGCAATACCTATTCTGTATGTGTTATTAGCCGAGTATCAGGGCAATACCGGCAGATATCGTAGCCGGTATTGCCCGTACTACGAGGCTAATCACACATTTATTACATGCATACTTCCCTAATTTGATGTACTCATCAACGTACACTGCCTTCACACGTGGAATTCGGGATCAGTACTACGAAAAACTACGAGGCACATGTATCCAACTGGCATTACATGCGCACCTATGTACTTCCCATGTTAGTTGATCCAATCACCGTACACTGTCATTCATATGGGCAAGAGTACATAACCTCCCAAGAGTACCCCCCCCCCCCCCCGTGATATCAAGAGTACATGCCCCCCCCCCCCCCCAGTCTACTGCCATGGAGTGCAGCTCAAGCAAGTGACATGTGCAAAGTACCTTGGAATACATTTGGGCCAGGATCTTTCTTGGAGGACTCAAGTTGATTCTATGGTCACCAAACTTGCCAGTAAAATTGGTATTCTGTTCCGAAATCGACACAATATTCCGCTGACTTGCCGAGAAACCTCTGTAAAGTGCCTAGTGTTGCCAGATTTTCTATATGCATCAAATTGTTTTTCTGCTGGCCTTTCCTTAACCCAGTTAGGTAGGCTTGAACGAATGCTAAAGCGAGCTTTGCGTTCAGTGTACGATACTGGTTTTTGTAGCCCATCAAGCCCTTTATTTGCGAGACTTGGTCTAGATCGTTTGGCATCCATGTATTGCAAGAAATTACTGTATCTGACGTGGCGCTGTTTGGAAGGCCGCTGTAGTGTCACATTAAGTCAAATGTTCCAGCGTTAAAAATTATGGTCTTGCAACGCGCAGCCTTGTATAACGCACTCTTAAGTTGCCCATGCTCAGAACTGCCTTTGCCCGTCATGGCACTTCCCTCCAATGTGCTAAGCTGTGGAATGATTTACACCCTCTAGCTCGCTGTGTGGATAACTCCGCCCGTTTTAAGAAACTGTTACCCCAATGCCTTGCGTTTTCACGCTAGTACTTATGACTTTCAGCTATGCAAAATGCGAACATGATCACCTATCCAATACCGGTAGTCTATTATATTAATTATTCATATCTTTTTGCATCTTTCCCTCGAGTGGGTCTATTGTTATTAGGCAATTGTCTGTTATAGTCACCACTATAAATAAGAATCCAAATAAAAATCCAATCCAATCCGTAGCGTTTCTAAACGACACTAAGCTTGACTTCGCGTTTCTGTGTTTTGAGCGAAACATACGCAAACTTCAAAATGCTAGCTAGATGTGAAGCGGAAACTGACTTCAGATCACACTGTTTCTTCTCTGCCACAAGATAGTCACTAAACACTTTCAGCCAATTCTTCGTTGAATTCTTTGTGTTTTTGTTTTCCTGTTCCCACAGCATCTTCTCAACATCTTGCTCGCTCACTCGCACAAATTGTGAGTTGACAGCTCGTTCACGGACACCATGTTCTGTCTCAACTCGAACGACGCTGGTAGCTTGAACTTGGTTGATTGGTTCACCGTCCAAGTCAGCTAGCATCTCGGTCAGGACATCCGGGTGTACGTCCAATATTTGAGACACATCGTCAGGAAGGTCAGACAGAAGTCCTTCTTCCTCAGCCATCGTCAGCGCTCCTTCACACCACAAGTAGCAATGAAACCATTTTGGTGGTGTGGTTTGCTTTATTGGTATGTGCAGTGGTGCAGAAGTGAAAGGACCCGGGGTGTGTGTGTGGGGGGGGGGGGGGGGGTGCGGAAGTGTACGCGTGTACGATTTGTATGTGTATGTGTACAGTGTGTATGGGGTCAAATGCCGGGCAATATCGTGTAATATTGGACCACCTGAGCGGGCTTGTATGGAGAAATATTGCCCGCTCTATCTGGTCGCTGATTGGTTGTAGACCTGGAAACGGTCACCTGACGTGTAATAAAACGGGAATACAGCGCAACAATTTACGTATATTATGTACAGTGTACATTGAAAAATAACTGATTAACCCTTACGCAAACAGTTAACCAGTGGGACCATTGTCATTAGGTTTAGGCCTGTTTTGGAACTCCACTCTAAATAAAGCCAAGCAACCAACAACAACAACCGCTCATTTTTTCTTAACAGTGACACAATCGGTTAACCTATGTTACCGTTTCACCCCTAGATATTCTCGCTGTTTGTTTGTAGGAAACTTTGCCTATTGTTCAACAAGTTGCAATGGATTATTTTGGCTTGAGGCTAAGCAGTGACACTTCCAGCATAAATATGTTGTGCACAGATTCTCCTAACGCAACTCCCCTAACAAAGCACGAGTTGCCCTAAATACCTTTGCTGTAGCCTAGGAATAAAATAATGGCGTACACGACGCGCCAAAACTGGCGCTGCATGTGACGGCACAGCCTTGTGCGGTAGAACCTCCGGTAAAACAACATGCATGCAACACATGTACAACCTCAAAAACAAAACAAAACAACATGCATGCAACACATGTAATGAATACAAGGTGTGTGATGACCTATGCTGTGCACATTATGCTGTGCACATGCACCAGTACTCATTTACTAACACTTGTTTGAAGGTGTTTCAGCTCGTGTTCTTATCGATTTCTTATTTTGGTCAATATCTAAAGAACGGAGGGTTTCTGGACCAACTGTCATAATGGGTGAATGAGGTTCAACTAAGGATAAAAGTAGCCAACTTTGAATGAAATCGGAAATTTGGCCATGTCAGGGGATAATTGGTCGTTACAGACATTACCCTTAAGGTGGCAGACTACCCAAAAATTCGCTGAAAAATCGAATTTGTAAATTCATATTGAGTGCTACGTCAGTTGAAAGAGCATGAATAGCTGCAAATTCTCTGAAAATTGTGTCCCGATCTGACCAGCCGTTCAAGAGTTATGGCCGAAAACGTGCCCTTGCAAGGAAAGATTTTTGTTGCACGCTGTCATTTGTTGGCAGCACTGTATTTGAATGTGAGCAGACCGTGCGCAACTTGTCGTATCATGGAAATACGCGAAAGTGTTCGCCTGCCGCCGTGCAGCCCAATAAGTGGTTTTTTAACGTGATTTTTGGACTTGGAGCAAAATTCTGCACACTTTGTTGGGAAACGAAAAAAGAAAAAAAGAAGAAAAGGTAAAATGGCACGGCCCGCCACTGTGTGCTCTGCTTGGTGCACTGTTGCAAGCAAAGTTTAGCAAGTATATTGCAATGCGGAGTACATGCATGTGTATGCAGTCAACTTCGCTAATAACGACTGCAGATACAGTCGAATGTCACTTATCCGGTCGCCAGTTATCCGAGCACGTCGGTTATCCGACAAGCCCGGGAGTGGTAATTTTATAACTCTCAACAGTAAAATTCTAAAAAATTAATAAAAAGAAACTTTTATTTTCGATTTTTTGTATATTATACGGTGTAATATGCATTTACTTGAAGTAGATGTGGTCAAGTATGCTAACATGTACATGTTTGTGTACATGGAATGTGCATGAATATATTTGGGTATTGTGTACATAAACTAGTGAAATCCAGCCATATATGCACATAAAAAATTGATATCAGTTATCCAACATATTCAGTTATCCAGCATGCCTGATTCCCGAAGTGGTCGAATAAGTGACATTCGACTGTATAACGACAATTCGCGAATAACGACAGAATGTTCATGCCCAGAGCAAAGTCCCATCCAACTGTAACACATACAATGAGACAGTTCGGGTATCACGACACTTCGCGAATAAGGACACTTTTCTGATGCCCCGCCGGGTGTCGCTATAAGCGAAGTTGACTGTACATATACTTTAGCCGCAGGTCCTTGGGGGTGTGTGCACGCACACTCATGTGTGTGGTGGCAAGTGCATGCATGTGGGTTAAAGGGGAAGCATACCCTAAAATCAAATTTTCACCAGTTGTAGTCTTCTGGGTGCTGAGTCGAATGATCTTGGTCCGAGGAAGCTGCGACGCTCCCTTCCTACTTGAATCTCAATCGAACTCGTGCACTTCCACCGAAACTGGGTGACTGCGCCCTACTAGATGGGGATTTGTATGCAAAATGTCACTAAAAGCGCCATTTCGTTCTTATAAAAGCCCGGATGACCGCGATTGGCCCATATGTTGTAGTCTTTTGGACGCTGAGTCGACTGGTTTTGGTCCGAAAAGGCTGCGATGCAGCGTTCCTCCGTTATTCCCAATCGAACATGGTTGAACAAGCGGTCACGTGCTCCACAGTGCCCAAATCACCTGGTCACCGCGCCAGCAGGCGACAAATAATTACTTTCACACCAAGGTTCAACTCGAGTTCAACTCGAGTGACAGGACTGCACCCAAAAAAGGTCAAACAGGCTAGTAAGTTGTACCCTGCAGGCACGGTGACCAGCTGACTGGTGTACGCAGGAGCACGTGACCACTTGTTCAACCATGTTCGATTGGGAATAAAGGAGGAACGCTGCATCGCAGCCTTTTCGGACCAAAACCAGTCGACTCAGCGTCCAAAAGACTACAACATATGGGCCAATGGCGGTCATCCGTGCTTTTACAAGAACGAAATGGCGCTTTTAGTGACATTTTGCATACAAATCCCCATCTAGTAGGGCGCAGTCACCCAGTTTCGGTGGAAGTGCGCGAGTTCGATTGGGAATAAAGGAGGAAGGGAGCGTCTCAGTTTCCTCGGACCAAGACCATTCGACTCAGCACCCCGAAGACTACAACTGGTGAACATTTGATTTTAGGGTATACTTCCCCTTTAACTTCTTCTTTCCATGAACCCATGAACTGTGCTCCCGGCCTGAGCAGCTAGAAACTCCATCAAATCACTGCGGCTATAGATCTATTTTTGGTTTCTTGTGTGTCTTTACCGTACAGCTGATCAGCTCAGTGAAGTCCCTAGAGCCATCAATGGGTACCCATTCTTTCCACCAACCAGTGGACGAACACGAGGACAAATCTTGCTGGGTATTCCCAGATAGGCTGATGTTCTCCTCCTCTTCATCCTGCGGCTAACATCTCTTCTTTCTAGGTAATGGTAATAGGAAAGTAAAACGATGGATTCTACATGATGCTGGTTGCCCTTTGAGGTTGCCAGGGCACCATGTTTGTAACGGCGTTCCCCTTTGCTGTTGCTGGGGCCGTGTTTGTATTGGTACGTTCCCAATGAAGTTGCAGGGCAGCATGTTTGTACAAGCGTTCCCATTTGATGTTGCCGGGACCGTCTTGTGTATTGGTGCATTCCCGATTAGGATAACGGGGAACCACGTTTTGTGACTGTATTTCCGTTTGCTGTTCCCGGAGCCGTGATTTGCATTGGTATGTTTCCATTGAAGTTCCTAGGAACCAAGTATGTAACAGGATTCCCATTTGCTGTTTCAGGGGCTATGTTAGTATTGGTGTGTTCCCATTGCCAGGGCACAACGTTTGTTGATTGTGCCTGTTTGAAGTTTCCAGGCCAATCATGTAACGTGCTCTCGTTTGCTGTTGCCGGGTGAAGTGTTTGTCAACCGTGCATGTTGCAAATTGCCATGCTGTGCTTAAAGGGGAAGTTAAGGCAAAAAATAAAATGTCACCAGTTGTAGTCTTCGGGGTGCTGAGTCGAATGGTCTTGGTCCGAGAAAGCTGAGACGCTCCCTTCCTACTTGAAACCCAATCGAACTCGCGCACTTCCACCGAAACTGGGTGACTGCGCCCTACTAGATGGGGATTTGTATGCAAAATGTCACTAAAAGCGCCATTTCGTTCTTATAAAAGCACGGATGACCGCGATTGGCCCATGTGTTGTAGTCTTTTGGACGCTGAGTCGACTGGTTTTGGTCCGAAAAGGCTGCTATGCAGCGTTCCTCCTTTATTCCCAATCGAACATGGTTGAACAAGTGGTCACGTGCTCCTGGGTGCCCAAATAACCTGGTCACCGCGCCAGCAGGCGACAACTTTCACACCAAGGTTCAACTCGAGTTCAACTCGAGTGACAGGACTACACCCAAAAAAGGTCAAACAGGCTAGTAAGTTGTACCCTGCAGGCACGGTGACCAGCTGACTGGTGTACGCAGGAGCACGTGACCACTTGTTCAACCATGTTCGATTGGGAATAAAGGAGGAACGCTGCATCGCAGCCTTTTCGGACCAAAACCAGTCGACTCGGCGTCCAAAAGACTACAACATATGGGCCAATCGCGGTCATCCGTGCTTTTATAAGAACGAAATGGCGCTTTTAGTGACGTTTTGCATACAAATCCCCATCTAGTAGGGCGCAGTCACCCAGTTTCGGTGGAAGTGCGCGAGTTCGATTGGGATTCAAGTAGGAAGGGAGCGTCTCAGCTTTCTCGGACCAAGACCATTCGACTCAGCACCCCGAAGACTACAACTGGTGAAATTTTAATTTTTGCCTTAACTTCCCCTTTAATTATAAGGCAATAAGAATTCCCAGCCATGCATTGTCTTGTGGCCAATGGATCTTGCTGGGCACCAGTAGAGTATTTGCATGCTAGCTTGATTTCTAAGCATGATAGCACCCTCGTCGCTGAACCTGGCATTTTGCTATCATTGGTGGTATTAAAAAGAGTGCTACATGAAAGAAAGACGTAAAAAAGGAAAATGGCAAGCCCAACAACTAGGTTCTCTGCTTGGTGTAGTGCGAGCAAAGTTTAGCAAGCGTATTGCAATGCGGAGTACATTGATGTGTATCCAATCATATACTTTGGCCGTAGGTCCTTGCGAGTGTGTGGTGGCAAGTGCACGCATGTGGGTTAACTTCTTCTTTCCATGAACCCATGAACTGTGCTCCCGGCCTGAGCAGCTACAAACTCCATCAAATCACTGCGGCTATAGATCTATTTTTGGTTTCTTATGTGTCTTTACCGTACAGCTGATCAGCTCAGTGACGTCCCCAGAGCCAACAGCGTACCCATTCTTTCCACCAACCAGTGGACGGACTCAGCTGATCAGCTCAGTGACGTCCCCAGAGCCAACAGCGTACCCATTCTTTCCACCAACCAGTGGACGGACTCATGAGGGCAAATCTTGCTGGGTATTCCCAGATAGGCTGATGTTCTCCTCCTCTTCATCCTGCGGCTAACATTACTTCTGTCAAGGTACTGATAATAGCGGAAAAACGTAATGGGTTCTATATGATGCTGGATACCATCCTAGTATATGAGCTTAGCTTTGGGAATGGTGCTATTGAAGATTGCTCCCTGCACTGCAAACAAATGTCTAGATGCAAGAAACTTTACCACAAGCCAATTTTTCATTTGGGTGCAGTCATGCTTAGTTTGAAGACAATGCCCAGGCGCGTAGCTAGCATGTAGCATGCTTAGTTTGAAGACAATGCCCAGGCGCGTAGCTAGCATGTAGCATGCTTAGTTTGAAGACAATGCCCAGGCGCGTAGCTAGCATGTAGCATGCTTAGTTTGAAGACAATGCCCAGGCGCGTAGCTAGCATGTAGCATGCTTAGTTTGAAGACAATGCCCAGGCGCGTAGCTAGCATGTAGCATGCTTAGTTTGAAGACAATGCCCAGGCGCGTAGCTAGCATGTAGCATGCTTAGTTTGAAGACAATGCCCAGGCGCGTAGCTAGCATGTAGCATGCTTAGTTTGAAGACAATGCCCAGGCGCGTAGCTAGCATGTAGCATGCTTAGTTTGAAGACAATGCCCAGGCGCGTAGCTAGCATGTAGCATGCTTAGTTTGAAGACAATGCCCAGGCGCGTAGCTAGCATGTAGCATGCTTAGTTTGAAGACAATGCCCAGGCGCGTAGCTAGCATGTAGCATGCTTAGTTTGAAGACAATGCCCAGGCGCGTAGCTAGCATGTAGCACGGGGGTGGGGCACATGTACACCCATACAAATTTCGACCTAGGTTCAGCATGCACGTAATAGAGAGGTTAAGATGCACGTTATTTCCGACGTGCCATGCAATTTCACGTCAAATTTGGCGTAAAACTCCAAATTTCGACGTGAGCTGCAGGTCACTCACGTTTTTTTCGGTGCGCGAACCAAATAACGCGAGCTGAACTTTCGCGTCACATCAGAAATAACGTGCAGTGAAATGAAGTTCAGTCTTGTCAAAATGCCGTTGAAAATATGGAGCAATGGTGCTCTGTTTGACAGACAACTTTATGGGCTTTCATTCATCGAAATGATTGTAAATTGCTCCATCTGGTCTGCTCAGTGCAAAATCTAAAGCTTAGAAGTAGTGTTAGAATCTGGGGCTATGATCATTTGGTCGGTTCCGGATCCAGATCCAAATCTCAGATCCGTCGGATCCTTCAGAATCAACTGAACACTGTTTTCGGACCTTGGCTATTGCCATGTCAACAACGTAAAAAATGGCGCTGACAAGTCACCCCAAAGGGCGAACGTCGTACTGATTGCGCACGTCATCATACGAAAAGTCAACAAGAGTCGACTAGTCATACGAAAATTAGTACTGCCTCTGACAAGCGAAACTTGGCGCTTTTTTTGATTTTTTTGTGTTGGTACCGCAACAAACTGACTTCACAAGGCTGTGAGGTTGGTTCTAGGACCTACTAGTACTTGTAGCTCCATGCAACCATGCAACCGGGTGGAGGAAGCCAAGCGACGAGCTGGTGAGTGGCACATGACTCAGACTCAGTCAGAGGCAGGCCAGTCTCTCTTGTACCAGCACAACAGTGCGCGCGTCCATTCTGCGAAGGAGAATCGTTGTGCTTTCGCGTTTCAATGCAAAACCAAGGAGTTATCTCTCTCTCTCTCTCTCCACTTGATCACTCAGCCAGCACGGAGTCCATACGTCCATGCCAAACAATCCTGGCGTCTTTCAATAGCCTCCAGAGCGATGCGTCTCTGTTGGCTAAGGGAAATCGCCAGGAATTGCTGCAGGCAATTATTCCCGTAGCTATGCAGAAGACGTTACTTCAGTAACGTCTGGCGCTAGCCAGGATCCACACAGCTTTGATTTGGTGTTTATTTGTTTGTTTATTTGTGGCGGATGGACCTCCGTCTGGGGCTATCCCGTATCTGTCCCGTACCGTACCGTACAGTCAGACCTCGCATAGCCGCACACATCCGTTTTCCACCAAAATATCCGGATAGGCGAGGGAACCGGATAATCGAACACACATACCGTATGTATGCATGCCATATGCTGTAAATCGGTAACCAGCGATTTTCTTCCGGATGGCGCGGGATCCGGATAAATGAGGACCGGATAAGCGAGGTCTGACTGTACCATCAAAGACAGCTGACCACAAACAGCTGGCCACAATATTCAAATAGGACTTTCAAATGCAAGATCATAACGTGAAGCAACTTGGAAGAAGTATGAATGTGTATCTGGTAATGCATGTAGGGCGATTTTGCGGGTTCGAATCCCAGGTTATGCATTGAAAAAAAATAGGAGAATAGAAAATGTTATAACATCCCTATGATTTTTTGGCCTAGGTCATCAAGGTGGTAGACGGTGTCGTATTACCCTGTCCCGCACCTGTCCCGTACCGTACCGTACCATCAAAGACGGCTGGCCACAAACAGCTGGACACAATATTCAAATAGGGCTTTCAAATGCAAGATCATAACGTGAAGCAACTTGGAAGAATTAGTATGTATGCGAAGTGTATCGGGGATGCATGTAGGGCGATAGTGCGGGTTCGAATCCCAGGTTATGTCTTGAACAAAAATAGGAGAAATGACAAATTTACTATGCTTTTTTTGCCTTGGTCATCAAGGCAAAAAACCATAGCGTAGGGCCCTGAGCTTCCAAGCTCTCTCGTTTTGGACTGTTGGCAAGAAAACCCGGCAAAAAGAGTTGGAGTCCAGGCGCGGGTGGAGGTGTTGCACAGTTCTTACCACGTCAACCTGGAATGTGGCGGCGGAAATGACTACCCTCGACATCATGGCTCAAGCACAGCACACAGGAGCGACATCGAGATTTCCAGAGCGATCACAACAAAGCCACGATACTTGCTGCAACTGAATACACTCTTGTCTCACTTTCGTCTCAAAACAGAGACAATTCCTCTCCAGAAGAAACTGTGATCTCTGAATCAGAGGAGAGTGATTTAGCCTAACTGATGTCTCTATTGTCCTTGTTGAGCAATACAAAGTTGTATTTTGGTGAGTCAATCTGCTTTGATTGTAAAGTGTGTGTTATTTTGAGTAATTTGAAGTAAAAAAACGCACCAAGTTTCGCTTGTCGGAGGTAGTACAAAAATGATTTTTTTCCCGCCATATACGCACAAAGGTCACATTTGAATCCGATGGATCCAGTCAACCCTGCTCCTGGGGCAGGATTGCTCGGATCTGGGTTCTACCAATCAATCACTGCAGATCCAGTGGATCCGACGGATCTGGATCTGGATCCGACCAAACGATCACAACCTGGATTAACTAGTTAAGCATGAGTTCAGCAGACTTTAGTTGTAAGACTGTAGTTGTACTATATATCAACCTTGAAAATACTGTCAGCCTTACACCTTGAAAACACTGTCAGCCTTACACCATAAAACACTGTCAGCCTTACACGATAAAACACAGTCAGTCTTACACCATGTGCACAACACAACATGCACAGTACTGTTGTGCATATGGTGTAAGGCCGGTCGCATGTCTAGCGGCTCCAGGGCGCTGGCCATACACCTGTAGGTAAGCAGTACACTCATGCATGCGCTACCGCTAGTACTGGTCGCATCGGATCAACATGTGCACTGCATGCATGCAACGTTCTGTACGCGCTGAGGGCGCCGACCCATGTCCACGACCGTGTGTTGCTCGTGTGTTTATTCATTCCAGGGCATCGTGGCATATTTCATCTTCATATTGTCCTCTAAACGGATGGAGCAAAGCATTGCAGATATCTTGAGTTGCAGCTGTGCATTTCTCCCAAATTTATTTTGTTTAGTAAAAACTGAAAATCAGGGCGAACCTATGCCCAATTTTTTAAAGATGGCCCGCCACTTTTGTTTGTGACATCACCCCATACTGTCAGATCAGCACATACACATACATGCAGATGCAGCCATATAATTTATGTGTCTTGCATACTTGTGTATATTTACCATACACTTGGACTCCTACCATACACTTGGATTTCTACCATACTTTTGGATTCCCGCCATGCGCTTGTATTCCCGCCATGCGCTTGTATTCCCGCCATGCATTTGGATGCCCACCGTACATTTCGATGCCCGCCATACAATTGGAGTCTACCATACGAAGAAGAACTAAGAAGAAGCAAGTAAAGGTAGCAAGGCGCAGCAGCAAGCATCCCAGAGACAGACACGACTCTTAGAGGCAGGTTAGTGAAGGCAGGTAAGCGAATGTAGCGGCCTCTCAGAGGTATTTGTATATATTTATCTATCTAGCCAGAGACTACCGAGGACGTATACTAATAATTATAGAGAGAGATATGGAGATAGGAGATAGAGAGATACAGGGAGAGAAATAGAGAGAGAGAGAGAGATAGATAGATAGATGTGCCTAGCTCCCCTTTGGGTTGAGCACTCTTCTTGGTTGCTCGTGCCCTAACGGAGAATGGATCGACCAAGGTTGTTCAGCATTGACTACTCGATGAAGAACATCCCTCTGCCTACTGAGCGGACCTACAAGCTGAAACTGGTGGAGATGACTGAAAAGCTCATCAAGCGAATGAGATGGAGGGCGTTTTTCTTTATCAAGGGCAAAGATGAACAGGACAGTTGCCAGGAGGAAACCTATGGATTCAAGACCAGAAACTGCCCGCCGCAGATAGACGACATGATCGAGTTCGAGAAGGACCTATGGAGTATGGTAGAAAACGTCAAGTTCCGCCGCGTTAACGACTCGCTGCAAGAAAGGATGAGAGAGGACCTGTCAAGGATCCGGAAATCCGATGACATGCTAGTCGCGGCGGATAAAACAAGGAATCTGTACTCGGTGGACACAGATCTTTACAGTAAGCT